CATTCAAAAAAAGATTTCTGCCAGTACTGTCGTCCAGCTTGAGTCTGAGAATGCAATACACCCGTATGCTGTTGGTAAATGAAACTATATTTGTGTATGGGATATGCTGAAAACATTGGCAACATACTGTTCAGCAGCCTGTCTTTTATGAGAACACGCTCAACAGTCCCAAGATGCATTCAAGGCGGTCAAGAGCTCAGTACATTTGAGTCCTTTGTGTTACTTTCGACAGGATGGTGATTCCCTGGGCATCGAGTATAGCGCAGGTGGATGGGAAGGAGTAGGTATCAGCGGATGGGGTTGCGATTAAATTTTTGCCAAAAACAACACCGGTCATGGTTGTGCAAGGTAACGTGTGAGGAATCTTGCAGTGTGATGGAGGGACGAAACATTGTTGGTGCCATATTCCAGTTGGGATGTCATCCACAGTGCGTTTGTTCCTTGGGGTGGCCTCAATGGCCATCTCTCTTCACTATTCACCAGCAGTTTGCACCTTTCTGGCAACGTGTGTGCATTGTGACAGTACTGGAATTATGGGTGGAAATGTGGGTGGGCAGGCGTCGATTAGTGTGGTGAGACAATGGCAAGTGTTTGAAAGGGTGCCGTCTTGACAAAACTGCATTGCACAAGATTCTTTCTGGAACAGCGACAGTTGTTCGGCGTCAGTCGCTAGCTCAGCAATGTCTTAAGATGCAAAACTTGTAACTGAATTACAAGTAAAATCCAGTAATATCCAGAAACTTTCTGGATTTTGAAGGGCGTGGCAGCTGCTGCACTGGATGGACTGGTTGTCGCTGTTGCAATTTTAGTGAAAACCAAATCGGCCCATTTGTCACATGTTCAGCAAAACTTTGAATCTATTGTATTGCACGGCAATGCACGACGACATCAAACCCCTGTGTGTTCCCTTGCACTCGACGTCGATATATGCATGCGGAAGGTCTCTGGTGTGCAATTCTTTACATGACTAGCAAACGAGGATTAGCGTCTCTCGTAGTCAAAGCAGCTCCAAGTTTGGCTGGTTCGCTCTTGAAGCGGAGTCAGGGCAAGAGAAGAATGTGCGAATGAGTATGTTACGATCTGTGCGGGAAGAGAAAAACATGGCGATGGCCTTCGCCTTGGTGAATAGTACAACCGTATCGAATTCTGTATGTTGGACTGCCAAGCAGCGGCTCTCTGGGCTGTCCACCAGAGGCACCAGCATGTTGCTTGCTCCTTCGCTCATTCGGATGTTCGGCCTTCAGCAGCCCTCTGCATCTCGTGCAGAGGCGTTCTAGCCTCGGACCACGTGACCGCGACCTGCATCCGTTGGACAGACGCGTAAACAGTCACCCAAATGCTCACGTAAACATGACGCAATGTATCTGCGCAAACGCAGCTGTCGACCACCGCTTTACCACCCCTCGCCGGGTCGCCCTCGCGGGCGTTGCAGATCGTCGCAGCGCGAGAGCCCGGCCGCTGCAGGACATATCTTGACAGCCATGCCCTTCGACCCCCTCGGGCCGCACCCGCTTGCCGCCCGCATGTCTCCCTCCCTGCGGCCTGCGCCCGGCCGCTCCCTTTCCCATCCCGACACACTCCGCTTCCGCTTAGGCATCGGGCCCCAGGGGGGGCAACGAGCCCGCCCCCGGGCACAGATCCTACCCCGCATGGCTCTGAACGACGGCGGCAGATCCGTGGAGCAGTTCCGGCCGTCGATCCTGTACCCAGACCTGCGCGTCCTGGAGCGCACCTGGGAGCCGTCTGCAGGCGCCCCAAAGGGGGGATTACTGATGGTGCATGGTGGCATGTGGCACTCCGGCTGGTTCGGGCCCTTTGGGGATGCTGTGTGCGACGCCGCCGGAGTGCGCGTCACCGCGCTGGACCTCCCGTCCCACGGCAAGTCCGACGACATCGAGGGGTACCGCGGCTACACCAGCCGTTTCAAAGACTTCGTGGAAGAGGCGGGGGCCACCCTGGACCGCCTGCGGGCGTCGCTGCCCGATGGCGCGCCGGTCGCGGTGCTGGGGGAGTCCATGGGCGGCCTGGTGACCCTGCTGCTTGCTCTGGAGCCCGGCGTGGCGGAGAAGATCAGGGGCCTGGTCCTCCTGGCGCCGCTTATTCGCCCCGCGGCTGCCGTCATGCCGCCCAAGCCCGTGGTCGCGGTCGTCAAGCTGATCGGCAGGCTGTTCCCGCGGCTGGTGATGCCCGGCAACGAGCTATCCGGCGAGAGCTTCGACCTGGCCTTCGGCGACGCGGAGGTCGCTGAGATGGCCAAGCGGGACCCCCTGGTGCAGTACGGCGAGGACGTGAGGATCGGCACCATGGCCGGCGCGCTGAGCGCCTGCGACGAGCTGGAGAGCCGGTTCGGGGAGCTGGCCGTGGGCAGCGTGGTCGTGCTGCAGAACGAGGGGGACGTGAGGACGGAGATCGCGCGCAGTGAGGACATGCTCGGGAGGATCGGGCGGGTGCGCGACAGGGAGCTAGTGAGGCTGCCCGGCACTGCGCACCAACTGTTTCAGGACGCGCCGGGGGTCAGGGAGGAGAACGTGGCCAGGGTGGCCAAGGTTGTGAGGAAGATGTGCGCCTGAACGGGGCCGGCGGTGAGGGAGCCGTGGGCCGGTTGTCTCGCCGAAACTTTTCCGTTTTGCGCGAATTGCGCGAGTGCTGGAAAGTCGCTGGGCAGTTGCAAGCGAACAATGTGCGGAACAGGATGGTTGGCCATTTTTCACAGTTTTCTTCCTTGATTTGGACATGCTGCGATACTGAAAAAGAGCCTGTGTTGGAAGTCGTGTTGGAACAGGATCCAACCGTACTATGTACGACAAATTTGATGATGTTGTTGTATACCGTAGTATACTCTACTTCCGCATCATAAGTTAGCATTTGCCCCTTTTACACGCAGCGATAACAAAAACGTACTGGTGCCAAAAGAATGCAGAGCAGGCCCAACTACAATGCGAGGATCTCTGGGCTGCTCGTGGCGTCCAGCTGTCTTATATGCATGAGTCGCTGTGGCGCAAAACCGCCATTTGAGGCTGTGCAAATTGAGCAGAGTCGCCTTTGGAACAGCAATCGTAACGCTGAGATTGCAATGTGCGGAAGGGTTAAATATACGTATTGACGGCATAAATTGGGACAATCAACGTCGTCAATGGTGCTTTCGTGGGCCTTGCATTTTTAAGGTCTTGACATTTCGAATTAGATGGACGCAATTCTACGCCCGAAAAGCTTTCAATTTAAACAAGCAGCGCAGAAGAAATTGGCCCTGGGCAAGAAAGCAGCCGTCGTCTCCGTATTTCGCCAGAAAGGCATTATGATTGGCATATATAATTATCTATTTTATGCGAAGGAAGTTTAGGAATCTGACCGGACACTAAATATGCAGTCTGACAATATTTTTCTGCTATCTTCGGGGGCCAAGTGCAGCGAAGGGCTGGGTGTGAGTGCGACAAATATCCTTAGGTGGAGTTCCGCCTCTGAGCGGCAAGCAATGGTCAGCTGTCCAGTACAATGAATCGGGCCGCCACGCATGAAATTTGCCCAGCAGGCTGGGACTCGGGACACGTGATTGGCACTTTGTGAAATTGGCAATCTCCCTGGGGTGCATCCTCCAAGCAATACGGCCGGAAACGCAACATTGACATTCGTCAAGTGGCACATTAATGAGCTCATTGGGGCAAGCGTTTCGACACATTGTAAATTTGTATGCCAAGAAATATGGCCATGCCGTCATTTGTGTCGTCCTTCAAATCTCCCTCTGTCCAGCTTTGATGGCTTGTCAGGGTTTGCTTGCACCAAATTGGCAAAAATTAAACTTGCAAAACACTGTTGTCTGGCTCAGAATCTGAATCAATCAGGCCTCCGTCGGGGTTTAATGACCCAAAACCCTTCATGGGAATTGCTTGTAACTGGACGCCTGATTGTTGGCTATGAGATGCTTGATGGTTCGCCATCAACATAAAGGCTCCAATGCGCATGGGCAGCGATGATCGAGCTTTTAGAAATCATTGCGGATCACTCAGCGCAATGCAACAGAGTGCAAACTTCGAATCTTGGAAATATTTGCAAATACAAAAGTACAGAACATTGTACTTGCATATTTGCAAATGCACACTTTCAGCATCCAATCCATATGTCACGGGCCTGTGAATTGCATGCACGCAGCACTTGCGCAAGCGCTTCGACTGCTATTGATAATATTCCTGGAATACTCCTGGAATTCTCTGGACCAGAGAGCAATGCAGACAATTGGATTTGCAAGCATGCCGTGGAGACTGCGAATTCGTGTCTTTCGAGAGCCCCGCATGTACAGTGCGATATATTCCGTCGGGGATGTTCGCCACAGCTCATTTGCTCCTTGGGGCGGCCTCAAGGTCTGTGTAATGGTCATCACTCGCTCCATATTCACCAGCAGTCTGCACCTTGCTGCTGCCGACTGTACACCGAGGCACCGCCAGAGATGTGATGGGCGTGTGTCCATGAGTACACTAGGACATCGGCAGGTGCTTGGAAGGCGCCCTTCTGGAGGAAACTGCATCGCTTAAGATTATTTCGGGAACAGCGATAATTGCTCGACTTCAATTGCCATCTCAGCATTGCTGCATCACATACACTTTGTATGCATAAGCCTTGCAATTTCTGGAGCTCGAAGGGCATGGTAGCTGCCGCACTGGTTGGACTGCTTGTTGTTGCAACTCGCTAATATGACTTATAATTAAATCCAAATTACTATTATTGTCATATTAGGACGTCGACTTGTCAAGTTCGGCGACACATTACAGGGCAGCAAACGGCGGCATCACCCACATCCCTTTGTGTCCCCTAAACGTTCGCTTGCGATCGACGTTGACATAGACAGGCGGAAGGGCAGTACTAAAAAAACTAGTTGTTTCGACAAAATTACCAAATTAGGAGTAGCTCTTCTAATTGTCGAGGCAGCTCCAAGTTCGGCTGGCTCGGCGTTGAGGTTGAGTCAGGCTTGGGAATGCGGATGCGTCTTTACATGATAATAAGTGAAAATACGTGTGTTGTCATGTATTGTTATTTTGGGGATAGAAATACGTCTTTGGACGTATTTTTAGGCCCAAAGTATATTATAAAAAGGGGCAAAAATTCAAAACTACGACTTTAACGGAATGCAAATTCCATCAGTCGGCATCCATGTCCGCCCCATCCATGACATCCATCCATTGCCGACAACAGCCACCCCATTGCCTATGGCCCCATCCATCACCACTGCATTGTTCTCCTTGATCACATGCAAGTCGAAGACCTTCTCAAGGAAATGGTCACAAAGCGCCTTGCGCCCAAACGCAGTATGTCCAAGGCCAGTACATCCACGTGGGATGCCTAAGTGCACGCTGTTGTGGCCTCCACTGCAAGCTTGGAATAGGCTCTCTCTGCAACATTGCACGTAATGTTTTCATGATAAAAGGAATCTACCCACTCAGCATCCACAGTGGGCTTGTTTCCATATGGAAAAGCATGCATGCGCAAACATATCTGGGACCGATCCCTCTACTGTGTGCGCCTCAAGAGCTGCAGTCGCCTCATGCTCGTTCACTGATTGGTCCATTCAATGGGTTCCACTGCACGATTGAGGATTGGCTTCGCAGACGAAATAACGCTGCTGTTCCATTGCAACTCCGTTGCGCCGTTTACTTTCACAGCGCTACATTTGCAAGCGAACTGTCTTTTCCTTCACAGCGTACAGCACGTTTACATGGTACAGAGCAATCCCAGATGTAGTGATGCCGGCCAGATAGCAACACTGGTGCTCAGGCTTGATTTTGGCGTTTACGTTTACGTTTACGTTTTCGCTTTTGCGTTTTTACGTGCAAAAGCGTAAATTTGCAAACGGCACTAATTTTATGGCTATTTTTACGTTTGTACGGCTCCCTGGGACACCCAGTCTTCACGATGAAAGCTGCGTACAATGATCAGTCTTCCGCCATTTCCAGCACCCGCAACACAATGTGCACCTCGCCCTTGGCAAGGGCGATGATGGCGGTTAACAAAAACTCGTTTTCTGCGCCTTCCAAAGCCTCTGGCTGCCACTCTCCGGACTCCGTAAGTCTGTATGTACTGCCCTTAAGTACAATGGGCAGTTTTAACGTTGTATTTACGTATTTTTTGCATTTTACGCATAAAACGTAAATACGATTAGTTTTTATGGCGTAAAAACAAGCCTGCTGGCACTCATTGCCACCCGCCATGGCAATGCCACGGCGCATGCATGCACCTCGCTGCGCTGCGACATTGGTGAAGTAGTAGCAGTGCTAACGCCAAACACCCAATGTTGGGGACCTTTTGAGTCGCCACTCGAGCTTCACCGCATTCATGGCACGCCTTGCTCCCTCGTGAAGTGCAGGTCGCTGATCCGTGGGATGCAAGTCGCAGTTCTCATCATTAATTGGTCAAATTAATAGATACTCGGTACAATTGTTCTATATTACGTCTATAAATACGCGTGCGTATTTTAAATGTCGCCAAAATAAGCGTATTTTCCGTACTTACGTTAAGAGTCAACCGTGTTTCCCAAGCCTGGTCTGAGTTATGCATGAGCAGAACGTGCGACTGAGTCCTGTTGCAGAAAGAGAAGAGCATGGAAATGCCTTTCGCCTTGGTCAGTCGGACAATCGAATCGAAATGTATATGGTGCACTGCGAAGCACCATTGCTCAAGTCCTGGGTGAACCGCCAGCAAAACCTCGCTTGCTTCTTCGCTATGGCTCCTTCGACTGTTGGACTTGCAGTGTTCAGCTCCGTGCCGCTCGCGCTGAGGTGTTTCACTCGTGGAACAGGTGACCGTGCATTGCCTGAGGCAGCAGGAGAAGGGATCTTCAAGAAAAAGAAGTGGGGACTAGTGTATTCTCGGACCGTGCACTTGCAGGGCGGACACTCAACCAGTCACCTAGTCCAGAATACACTCTGTTTTGTCCGTGAGATTCCCTTCTTCTTACGCTGAAAAGGCCAACGCCGGTACGTGGGTCAGTGGTCGTCAGTGGTTTTATGGTTGTTTAGGGTGTGCGAAACAAGAAGGGAGTCTCGCGGACAAGACAGACTGCCCACTTAATCACCAGCACCCTAAGTTCACGCAACGGATCTGCGGGGACGCTGACGTTGTCGTCCACCGCTGTTGCCACTTGGTTGTCGGTAAGTCGCCGCCCAGGGCGTCGCAGACCTCGGCAGCCTGAGAGCTCTGCCGCTGCCGGGCAGGACCCCAGACAGGCAGGACCCTCGGGCCGCGCTGCCTTGCTGTCCCCAAGTCTCCGACCCTGCGGACCACGGCGGGCCTGTCTTTTTCCTTCCCAACATGCGCTGCTGCCGCTTTATCAGCGGACCACTTGGGATCCCAAGGGCCCCCATCCCGCCCCAGATCCGACTCCTGCTGCCGCGGACGGCATTGAACGACGGCGGCAGATCCGTGGAGCAGTTTCGGCCGTCGATCCGATACCCAGACCTGCGCGTCCTGGAGCGCACCTGGGAGCCTGGGGACGACCCCAGAGCAGGCCTGCTGGTCCTGCACGGCATCATGTGGCACTCAGGCTGGTTCGGGCCCTTCGGGGATGCGGTGTGCGACGCTTGCGGCGTGCGCGTCACCGCACTGGACCTTCCCTCCCACGGCAAGTCCGACGACATCGAGGGCTACCGCGGCTACACCGCCCGCTTCCGCGACTTTGTCGACGAGGCGGGCGCCACCCTGGATCGTCTGCAGGCGTCGCTGTCCGAGGGCGCGCCGGTCGCGGTGCTGGGTGAATCGATGGGCTGCTGCTCGCCATGGAGCCTAGCGTGGCCGACAGGATCAGGGGATTGATCCTGCTGGCGCCGCTCATTCGCCCAGCGGGCCTGCCACCAGGGCCCGTCGTGGCGGTGGCGAAGCTGATCGGCAGGCTGTTCCCGCGGCTGGTGATGCCCGGGGACGAGTTCTCTGGCGATAATTTCGACCAGGCCTTCGGCGACAGGGAGGTCGCAGAGATGGCCAAGCGGGACCCCCTGGTACAATACGGCGGGGACGTGCGGATAGGCCCCATAGCGAGAGCGCTCAGGGCCTGCGACGAGCTGGAGCGCAGGATGGGAGAGCTGGCCGTGGTCGTGCTGCAGAATGAGGGGGATGTGAGGACGGAGATTGCGCACAGCCAGGAGATGCTGGGGCGGATTGGGCGGGTGCGTGACAAAGAACTCGTGAGGCTGCCCGGTACGGCGCACCTGTCGTTTCAGGACGCGCCGGGGGTCAGGGAGGAGAACGTGGCGAGGGTGGCCAAGGTCGTGGGGAAGATGTGCGCCTGAGCGGGGTGGTGGGCGTGGGTTGCGAGGGCCACCATTCTTTTTGGCGACAGTGAAATTGTGCTTTGTGCGACATGTTCTTTTTTGCTACAGTGGCGATAATTTGCCATACCAACCCAGCGCGATCCACGGGACCTTCTCTCACAACAGCGCCGAAGGCGCGTCTGTTCGGAGAAGGAACCCAAAGGCGAAATGGGAGCGTTTGGGGACGCCCAGAGTCCACTCCTTGCGGAAGGGGGCTGCCGCCCCCGTACGGTGCTCGCTCTGGCACTGAGATTTAGCCGAATTGTCTGAGGTTGGAGCGTTTCATCCCAGGCTCTGTTTCTGCAGTGCTAGCCCGCTGAAATGTGCTCAAATGGCCACACAGGGAGACGGCGCCACCAACTGGGACTGGGGGATGTTGCTCATGATGCCGGACGGGGTGGCCAAGGGGCTGGTTGCCAGCGCCACTGCTGTCCACGCATCGACCAACAAGGTGCCCATGCCCAGTGCCATTGGTTGTTCACACGACTACCTTTTGCTGTTGAGTGGGGCATGCCCTGTGAGCCACGACCTCTGACGGGCTGCCACTGGCAGCATTTCAGCACTTGGTGCAACTTGCTAGCCAATTGGCGCCGCCCGGCCCTGTGCGTCACCCAGGCCGCAGACAAGCACAGCATTGACCCCCAAAGTTGTAGGAAGCGGAACAGTGACCCCTCGGGCTGTGAAGGCCAGTAGTAGTTGGCAGGAAGTGGGTAGGCATGTCGGTTTTCAGGCCCCGCCGCCTTCTCAAGCTGTGCATTAGTCATATTCGCTGTCGCAAAAAGAAATATTCACCGGTTGGG